CCCAGACTTGTGCAGATGTTTGGGAAATGCTGACATGAGAACTATGCCACTTGGACCAGGTGTAACAGACATCAGGCATGATTAATTCCTATCACACTTCATATCAATTTGTATAATACTCTGTGCCTCAGTTTACCTCCAATACTTATTGGCTGCCTTTTCTATTTACAGAGAGAATGAATGAGCTCTTACTTTGTGATTGTGTCAATAAGGAAAGGTTGATTTAATCGGTCGTTAGGCTGCAATGCAATGCTTCACAATGCAATGCTGGATCTGCAGCATGACTTTTGCAGTGGTCAACAACAAATGTCAAAAGGGGAAACAGAATGTGCAAGAAACAAATATAGACACAGCCTGATCCCTTCTGTAGACTGTGATTCTCTCCATCTTTACTACCTGCTTTGTTTAGGAAAAAGAAAAAAACAAAACAAAACCAACAACAAAGAAATAAAAAAATTCACGTAAGTATTAAAACATCTTTTTTTCATCCTTCACTCCCTTCCTGCCTCCAATAGCAATAATATCAGCTCCCTTTTATAAAGCAAGAACTCACACAGTATATTTCAAGTGAGTGCACTTGGCTTTCAAAAACCTGCTGTAAAGGGAAATTATATGTCAAGGTGTAGTATTTCTGCCACAAATCATCCAGAGACATCATCAACCCCATTTGATTGAGTTCAGCACCATAATCATAAATACTCTTGCTTTACGACCATGCTGGAGTTCTTAACCAGGAGCAAACACAGGTTTTCCCAAGGCACCAAAAGCAGTTGATTCAGCTCCATTATGGGCAGAGCTGATTCACCAAGTACTGAACAAACGACAGGTATGAAATCCTGGCTTCTTGCAGACAGTGTGGGATGTGCCTCTTTATCCTATTTGTCACCTTTGGTTTGGTTTTGCAGGGTGATAGAAAGGTTTGGTTTTGCAGCTGCCTTGTCCTAGCCCAGGACTGGCTGATCACAAATGTCCTCAGTATGGTTCAAAAGCTCCTTTAGACAGTAGGTCACTAACTATATGAAGATAAACAGCATTTTCATTTCTGATCAGCATGGATAATGGCCAACATCCTTCTGTTCTCCACCAGGGTCAGTCTCAAATTCATCCTGTGTTCTGCACTAGTTGAGAACTCATACTTCAAGAAAAAGAAAAAAATAAATAAATCACGAATTCTTTTTCTGTGTACATGAAGAAGACTTGAAAGACAGTAAGGCTGAACTCATGGAAATCCACAAGCTGGTGAGGTATGCTAAGGAAATGGTGGAGTCAGAAGTGCAGAAGGGCATAAGGCTTCCTTCATTGTGCTTCTTGCTGGTCTCAGGGCGATGGGTACCAGTTCAATCAGACCATCTGGAGAGTGGGAAGCCTCAACCTACTCAAGAGTGAGATGCTGTACAGGCAAAGAGAGAAAGCAATCACCCAGAGGTAGGTGTGTCAGCAAAGGGAAAGTAAAAATCATAGTGTCAGAGAGGGGAGTAGGCTTGGCATGCCAATAACGATGACTACAGAGGGAGAGAATTTCTGGCCCTGATTCATGTGACAAAGTAGCACTAATATTTATTTGCTTGGCAGAGAGATTCATGGGACAAGCAGACCATATGATCCTGGAAGCCAGCCATGCTAATCTGCTCTGTAGTCTCAGGAAAGGACTGCAAATGGGATGGTCCAACCATCCCACACTTGTAGTAGTTTCCTATCAGCATGTCCTCAAGACTTCCAGGTTTAAGAGGCACTCATATCCAGATGGTGCTGAACACACCCTTTTTGCATCCTTAAGGAGTAAAAGTACTTGCAGAGAAAAGGAGCTTTGCAGATGGAGATGAAAAGCCATTAAAAACAGACCCACTCACAGTTGTTGGGAGCTCTACTGAAGACAGCTTTGGGAGGGCTGGAAGTGCACCTCAGCCCTGTTAACCTGCCAAGTCATGTTACATCATCAAGAAGTGGGTGGAGGTCTGAAAGGGCAAGGGAGAACCAGGCTTGGCTTCGAGGTACCAAATGGTTTCTGCTGTTCAGGGAACTCAATGAATAAGCTCAGTATAGGGCAGAAGAGGAAAGAACTAAAGGCGAAACTGAAAAACAGTAGAGATGAGTCAGTGAGAAGATGGCTTCTTAAGAGAAGTGTGGGATGTATGCACAGCATTTATTTTGTAATTTGTCAAAAGTGTAAATTGATAAAGTTTGAAGTGTAATTTGACAAAATCTGTCTGGCCATGCAGAGAAGGCAAATATGCATTTGTCAAGATGTATTGGTGATGCTGTCCTTCCCCTGTTCTATTGTCTTTGAGAGCCTCAGACAGCAATGAGAACGACTCTAAAGGTACAAGACATTTCTCACATTGCCAAGCAGAAAGCTGTCACTGATAGCTTCAATTTTGCAAGGTCGTTATTTTTGCAGATACTATCCACTCTTTCCAGTGCTGGGAAGTGTTTAATCTGTGCAGCAGATAGTAAAAATAGCTCTGAACTGAGCAGCTGACAACCAAATGTCTCCCATGAGAAAGAGGTTTGTGCCCAGATGTGGATTTGCTGCATCCAGAAGCTGAAGGGGCTGAAACCATCATTAGCAATGACCACTGGAATGTACCTGTATGTCATGATGCTGTCAGTCCTTGTAGATCAATAGTTGTCTTTTAAGGGTTTGAACACTTACTTGATGCTTTGCAAGATCGGAGTGTGAGTATTTGAAGCTCAGTAGAAAAACATCTATTAAAGGGGATACAAGACAGAAAGAATCAGCAGACAAATCCTCTCAGATTTGAACTGTCTCTTTGTCTGAAGTTGGCACCTTTAAGAAACCCAATGAGAGGTCATACAGTGATGGAAAAAGTGTGCTCAAAGGTGGAGGTCTAGAGAAGGCTGCAAGTCAACTGCCTCTTCCCCAGTTCTTCAGAACAAGATCTTAGTGGGAATAGAGTAAAAACCAGATGATTCTCTCCCTATGGAACTGGGATGATGAAGATCTTTCTGATGGAAACAAAAGTCAGAAATACCAACAAAGCTGAGGCAGGTGGAGATGCACTGACACTTGTAGGTCTTCCATGTGCAGTGGCTGGAGGAGAGAAGAGATGGGAATTGGGAAGATGAGTCTTGTGCTTAGTGCATAAAGCCTGCCAGAGGTTTGCCAGAGGAGATAAATGATGAGATGGTGCCCCAGCAAATACCATCTGCTCTAGAAAGTGAGGTACCTCCAGTTCCTGATGTGGAAGATACAGAGAACTGCATCTACCAAAACTGACCAGATTCTGCCAAAGGCTTTACAGAATTATAGAATATTCTGAGTTGCAAAAGATTCATAAGGATCACCAAGTCTAACTCATGGCTCCACACAGGACACCCAAATATCAGACCAGCTGGCTGAAAGCATTGTCCAAATTCTTCTTGAACTCCAGCAGTGACATGACCAGTTCCTCAGGAAGACTCTTCCAATACCCAACAGCCCTCTAATTAAAGAACATTCTCCTCATATCCAAACTGAGCTTCCCTGGTCACAGTTTCATGCCATTCCTGTGGGTTCTATCGCTGATCACCAGAGAGAGGTATGCAAGGTAATAGATTCCTTTTAGTTGGAATAGGGCTGAACCCTGGACTGCCTTCTGCACCGCTTCACACCAAGCAGAGGGTATCAAATATCCACCCTCTAAGCTCTCAGTGAGTTTTCCAGCAGGTTAACAGCAAATGCTGAATCCTGCTAGACAAAGAGCTGGCAACCTCCCTGCTCGTGAATATTTATGACTTGTCCCAACGCCTGTGCAGTTCAGGATGTCTGCTCCAGGACATCTCAACCAGCACATATGTTAAGGGAGTAGTGGGAGGGGACAGTGGATGCCATAGGAGTGTGAAACCATTACAAGCATGTCCTTTGGTGCAACAAACTGGGTTGCCTGGGGCACAGGCTGGGGGATAGGCAAGGGAATATTTTAAGAACACAAGACCCAGCAAGCAGTGCAGGGAGAAGTGTGGATTTCAGCCTCCAAATGCAGCGCACGTCGATGGAGATTTCAGCAGCTGCCTCTGTGCCCAGTGGTTCAGCAGATATCAGATCTATTAATGGGTACTGGTCCCTTGGGCCAGGCACACAACGAGCCATCTCGGGTCATTTACCAGACAGGCCATTCCTGCTTTCAGACCATTCCTGACCAGGAAGTAATTAAGTGGCTTCCTATTTGTATTCTCCTGAGCTCCACTTGTCTGCAAGTGCTCATTAGTTACAATACAGCCAGACAGCATTTGCAGTGCAGCAGCCAGCTCTGTATTAAGCCCCAAGGTCCAGTTCAGCTCTAGCTCAGAGACTGGCAATGAAGCATTCCCTGGCCTCTGTTGGAAGCAGTTTGGTGGACTGGCCATTAGACACTAAACACACAAAGCCACCAACATCCTCGAAGCACTGCTGAAATACACTGCCATTGTTTTCATAGCTCTAAATACTCTCCAGATCTCAGTAGCTTGGAGATTTGCTTAGAGGCACCATCCTCTTCTTCTCTCTAGATGAAAATGCATGACCAGTATTTCCTCTTGCTTCCAGTCAGGGACTTGTCATCCACTGCTGGTAGATGCAATGGCTTCCTGAGGTGGAACACTCCCTATGGTTGTGCCTTATTTTTGGATGGAAGCCACCACCAAGCCCTGCTAGTCCCAACAGCACACAAGCACTGGCTATATCTTGACAAGGACTATGACCCAGTATATGACGGCTCTCAGCAGAGCTTGCAGGTATCAGCACTTTGCTGTTGACAGACAGCTGTGTAACTGGGCAGAGCTTCTCTGCATGATGTGCCAACACTTTGGGGATGAGCACCATCTTTCAAATGGGTTTCAGTATGAGGAAGAGGAGATCTGGAGGGAAAAGTGAGGGTTTTGTGGAGGGCAAGCCAAACAGGGAGAGGGTGGGATTGGAGCTGGAGAAGGTTTCATGGTTTGTTGGTCTGAGCAAAACAAAAAGGCTACATCATCTCATGATCTCTGAGAAGTCCTCACACACAGCATGTGCCCCTGCCTACCTCAGGCAGCTTGACTCGTCCCTCCTGGAAGGAGCAGGTGCTGGGATCATGAGTGCAGACATGGCGGTACTTGCACCAGTGGCACCGGTAAGGGCTCTCCACACATGACAGACACCTGGAGATAGAGGGAAAAAGCAGTCACTTGGACAGCCTGTCCTCTTCTACAAACAGGATAGACCAGTAGGTTGAGAGTGCTTTTCAGAGATAAAAATAGTTTGTCAAACATTGCTTTTACAATACTAGTGGAAAACCATAGGCTTTGAACTGGCCTGATATCATCAGGTCTCCAGATGGCACTTTGCCTGCCATGGCCTGAGCTGGGTTTCACTGTGACTGATGTGTCTTTTACTATTTAGAAAATTTAGACTGCTTTAATTTCATTCTAACTAGACTAGTCATATTTTTGTTGTATTTTGGTTACCCTGTTACTACTTCAAAATGAAACAAATGAGATTTACAACAGGTCCTTGGCTTCATACACAAGTTGTGCTCCCCTTTTGCCCATAACAAGATTCTGAGTGTAACAAAAAAATTAAAAATCAGAGGATGTTCACGATAAGATGAGAAACTGTTATGGCCTCACTGCTTCTGTGCAAAACTGCAGCAATACTCTGAGAGCTGAGAACACTTCATGAGACGGTGCCCAAGCTGAAAGAATAGCGATGCCCATGGAGGGCAGTCATGGTGCACCAGCAGTCTCATCTGACTGATCCTGCCTCCCTCAAATGTCATGCAGAGGCCAACCAGAAAGTGGTATGCCTCAAGCTCAGGATCAAGTAGGATATACTGTCCCACAGGCTTCTTATTATGATTTGAGTCCAGAGTGATGGGGATCCTGCACATATTTTGGCTGTGTTCTTCCTTGTCTCAGCAGAGACAGGAAGACCAGAAGTTTTTTGGGTAGCAGAAGGCGTATTTATGAAGTCACCTATTCAGAGTATAAGAAAGAGCCAGTCCCACCATTTTGCAACCATTTGCTCTCCTACACCCATAGTCCTCATAGAGCATGAGCTGCGAAAACTTTTTCAAGACTATTTTACAGCACTGACTTATACCTACATCACATTTTTTAATTTATTTGATATGATGTCTGTCCACCAGGAACCACACTGAGCCATAACAAATTGTTTACACAAAACAAGCACTAGATGGTAACCACTCCTGGTTGCTCACTGTCAGAGATCTTCATGCTGCTGCAGTCTCTGAAATACCTGAAGGGGATTTGGAAGGAAATTTTCCTGGCCTCTATGTGCCACTGGGTTTTTAATGGGCAGGAGTGGAAAAAAAAAGCTATCCTCCAGGATAGCTTGGCTAAGCGCAGCAGGCAGACACACACCCTCAGTCCTGTCTTTCTGTGAAATCTCGTTCAACTTCAATCCACTCTCAGCTCTGGTACAGCGAGCTGTTCTTCAAATTGGTAACAAGTGCTTGCTCTGATACATCAAATTAAAAATGGATAGTGTATTATAGTTTGTCAAGTAAGGAACCAAAACATGCCATAAATATTTAACACCACCATCTCTCCTCCTCTCCCCCCCAACACTTGCTTCCTGACACTGTTTGTCAAAGCAGCAGGAACAAGGAAATAGGATTTGCCTTTGCTTGTGAATTGCTGAGCCACAGTAATTATCTGCTTTTGGCACTTCTGATGGCTCAGTGGTGGTGACAGAGCCCTCAGTCTTGCTCAGGGGTGGATCAATGTGCTGGAAGAACATCATCCTGCTTTGGCAGTCTTACTCTGGTGGGGCAGCTGCTGTGTACCAGCTAAATCCCAGGATAATGTGGCACAGGGCAGGAAAGGAAATTGCAAGATAGAGAAGATGGGTTTGAAGAAATCAGCTGGGCAGTCCCCACTCTGTTCACATCACACAGAATCCACAACTCCCATCTTTCCAGATTTGAGAACTCAAACCCATGCTAACGTCTGGGGCAGGACCCTGCTGGCAGGACTGATATGGGCTGAGAAGGGCTGGAAGTGTGGATTTTTGGGCAGAATCCAACCATCCACAAACAACTGCTTCTAGGAAGGAAAAAGGGCCCTTTGCTGAAGTCACAGATTGCTTTTGACTTGCTTCAATGCAAACTCCCACTGATCCTCCTTTCCCTGAGGGACATGTGATGATGTACCATCACTCAAGGCAATGCTCTCCTCCATAGAAGGACCATAGTGGAACAAACATTTACTACGCCACCTCTGGTTTTCCCAGGAGAGACAGCATTGTGCTGATCATTACTGATATCATTCTGACTGCTGCTCTCCTCCACACCTGACCAAATTCCTGAGGGACACACGCCTCCCTGGGTTCTGTGGCAGATCCAGAGTTGGGATAAAAAACAGGTATCAAAGGAACTTGACGTACGAATTGTGGACACTGCAGTTGTAGAAGACGAAGCTGGTGCTGGCAAAGGTCATACCCGTTTCCTTGGACTTGAGCTGGAGTTGGACTATGTGATGGTCTCCTAAGACAAAAAAACAACATATACAACAGTTTGTGACTGTTTTAGCACAGTTGTTTGGCCATGCCACCAGTCTGAACAAGAAGCTGGTCCTGAGTAAACGAACTAGTTTATCTTCAGAGGGTGAAGGAACGGCAATAAAATCTGTCTACAGCTCAGACCTCCAAAAAGTACATCTGCCTCCATAATGGTATTGCAGTGATGCATTAGGTCTTCACCACTGGAAAACTGCAAGCAAGGTCTGTGCTGGATGATACCAATAGGTCTACGTAATAAATCTCTGATTTCAAAACAATGGTAAATGAAGTCAGCAAGTAGGAAAGCTAAGTGCAAAAGAGTAGATGGAGATGCCTGGAATAAGAAGCTCATTCAAATAGAGCACTGTCCATAAGGTTCTTCATTACTTTAGGTTCATTTAAGTCCACCAAAGGAAGGGGCCTGTGGGAGATTGGGCATATCTTCTTCTCAACATCATTATTTATCATCTCTGAATATAGCCCAATACCCAGGACAGGGCAGGGATTCCATGTCATTCACCCCAGTGTCCATGCACCCCAGTCTTTGGCTATAAACAACCCAGTTTAATGTGGGAGAGACATCCATAAGCCTCTGTATGCTTCTGGAAGTGTCAATCCATTTCCACAGCAGACCCATCAGCAGCAAAGTTTGAGCCTCAACTTCTGGATACTAACTCCCCTTTCCCACTGCTTCCAAGCCAAGCAGTCAAGTGCTACCTCTTCTCACAATGCTAAAGGCACCATTCAAAACTCAGCCGTGTGGGAAATGACTGGGTACAGTAATTGCAATAATTTAGTGGGGAAGGGACCCATGTTTAATTCAAGACTTTGGCTTGGTTAGCCCTTTCACCTCTATTATTTTCCTTCTCAACCTGAAAGATTCATTAATCAAACAGGCCAAAGTAAACTTGACAATTCATCTCAGCTCATCCACCTACAGGCATACACACATACATACCACATACACACACAAAACCACACACTTCACTGAGCATGTTTTGCTGCCAGTGCTCAACTCTGCTGCCCATCTGCTGCCGTCGGCTTTGACAGCTCTGTTAACCACTTCATATTTAACAACTTTGCCAGTGTCTTGCATATATTTTAAAACAAGATGTGAGGATTGGATGGCTTCAGGGATCAGATGTTCTACAGAGCCACACATCCCTTGGTTCAAATCCAGTTTCTGGCCCTATGCATGGAAGACTTGGTCTCTGCAGAGGTGCAGAGCACCAGCTGCTGAAGTTGATACAAGCTGCAGGTGCTCAGCATCTCTGGAAACCACACTTCACATAAATCTCTCTCTCTCTTGTTCTGCCTTGAGTTTCCACTGCTGTTTTTGCTTGCTTGTCAATTGTAGCCTGGTCTGAGACAGATGTCTGTATCAAGGAAATAGTTCCTGGCAGCTATCTTGGTAAGCAAACATAGTTGATGATTCAGTGGGACCTGAAAATGAGAACAGCCCTTTGGGGGCTTCTTTTGGGACTACAGTGGAGAGCACACGCAGCTGTGTGCAGCTTGGGGAGAGCAGGGGGAGGTGATGGTGACAGCTTGTGTAACTTCATTTCTGTGGCCTGTAGGGATTCCTGGAGGCTCTCCAGTAATATTTCACAAGAAGCCAAGGAGTATAATGGCTACATCCTCTCTGCACTTCATGAGGTGATCAATAGAATTGAGGTTTTTATAGCAAACCTCTGCAAGAGCCACAGGTGCTCTTGAAAGTATCAAGAAAAGCATTAGAAAAAGGAAGCCAAAAAGGGCATGAAGCTGGGGATAAGGGACCCATCCTGAGAGACAAGGTATTTCTACACTGAATCATTCAGGGGTGGAGCCAGCAACAAAATGAGTATGAGCACAGAGCAAAAAATGGCCAGTGACAGAGAGAACAACTGAACACGCAGATCTAAAGGTAAGATGAATAGGATAAAATTGTGGAAAGGATGTTCAGGTCTGCAGGATTTTCTTGCTGCTGTGTTGTGATGTGTTGAGAGCACTTCCAATCTCATTACTTGGGATGTACCACACCAGGCTGGGCAATAAGCTAGTGGAGATCCTTCATCTGACTCTCGTCTTTGTTAGGTATAGGCTACTACCACTCGGTGGCAGTCTGAAGACGTACTACCATGCATATAGGCACCTAAAAGCAGGTACTGATAGTGTAGCTCAACACACACACATAAACTCATGCATTCAGCTCACTCATGCTACAGCTGTAGTAATCACTGGCAGCATAACCCTCACTCCTATGCTTTGCATAACCTGTTCTGAGGCTCCCATATGCCAAAACCTTGGAGAACAAGCAAGATGAAAGACATAAAGATAAGGGATGAGGAAGGGTGGAAGATCTGAGAGCTGTGTGGTACTCACCATTCTCTGTGATGATCTGTGGTACCTCTTTGGCAGCTGGTGAGATGCACTGGATCTGACTTCCCACTACCAAACCATCCATCTCTGACAGGTCCTCAAAGGTGCAGTTGACTCCTGCTGACAGCTCAGGGACGTTGTAGGTCTCCAAGACCAGCTGCAAGTGAAGATGGAGGGAGGGAAGAAGAGATAGGGGGGAAAAAAAAAAAAAAGAGAGAGAGAGAAAAAATACTGAGCTGAACAACAGAGCTGGGTCAGCAGGAGAGAATTACACTGGAGAGGTTGGACAAAGAGCCTCTTGCTAGAGAGAGCATCCTCCTTCAACAGAAAGCAGCGATTCAGGAGAGGGATGTGTGTGTGGAGGGGGAAGGGGATGAGATGCTGATGCCAACACAAGTGGTACGTGGCTATGCAGGGACAACTGCACTGCATCCCAGTGCTGCTGGGTCAGTGGAGGGGAGGGAGTGCTCTCTATCTGTCATGCAAGTGTAAGGTTAAACAGGGAGTCTTTGGAGCCGGCTGTGAAGACCAGGGCTTTGGTGGCCCCAAGGCACGCGGTTTCTGAGGAAGGTGACTACTACTCACAAGAGGCACTCTGCAGACTACAGAGAAACTGTAATGCTCCAGTCTAACTCTCTACGGCCTGCTCTCCTAGCATCAGCAGATGGGGGAGCGTTCTGTCACCAAGTTCCTGCGTAAGGAGAGTCTAGTTACAGGCTTCAGTTCACCACAATAAACCTCTTTCTCTAGAGGCACAACAAATTTTTCCTGCCCATCCCACCAAAGATGGCCTTAGGGGCATGCTGCATTTGGGAGCTATGCATAAACAAAGCTGTGAAGGAGGAATTGCCCAGGTTAATTAATCATGTGCACCCACCGGCTTTGCTATGTCATTACCCACGGTCAGGAAAGGAAAGAAGCATGTGGCTCTTTTTCTCCTCTAGAGCAGGACCCTCATGCTGCCATTAGGTCAGCTAAGGTTCCTCTGCTGTCCATCATGAAACGTCTTGCCCAGCCTGCCCTTGGATCACAGACATGCCATGTCCAAAGGCAGAGAAGCATATCAGGGTACTTTTATCACCTGCTAATGAGCTATTATAGATCTAGAGTTATTGTGGCCAACCACGAAAGCCAGACACTTGAGGCAGGCACAAATGCAAGTACTCTCCACACTTGCCTCAGCTGTGAACAAGCTGAGGCCCCATCTGTGGTGACAGCCACTAAGAGGAGACACAAATGCATACTGAAGTGTTTTTGCTACCAGTACAAAGAACAGAAGATAAGTTGGTGATGTCCAGGTGATAAAGCAGGAGAGGATGATATCATTGCTTTTGCTTACTGCTTCTTCACATTGTGTTTTCCTCACTAAGAGAAGGTTTGGGGCTATTCCTTAATGCTAGACCTTATGGCCCATAAGATAGAAAGGCCAAAGATGGGCCTTTGCTCTGCATAACATAAAGCCTTTGTGAAATCTGTTTATTTTGTAGTGATGGGAACGGCAGTGGGAAAGGAAATCATGTCTTTGGTGGTGATTAGGAAAAATGTATGGGTGTTTGATAGATTTATCACTCAATCTAAATCCATTCTATCTCCTCATCTATATACTGTTAGAGATGGAGAAGAGGAAACTTCTGTCTAATTAATATTGTTGTTTGTGCACAGAAGACGCGGAATAAAGATGGGTCATGGAGAAGATATGGCAAAGGACAGAGCAGCAGTGCTTGGCCATAAACCTCATGAGCCAAGGTTCACCTGGAACAAACAAGTCCTACATCCTTCAGGCCTTTTCTGGAGCTTCTGCAATGAGGGAAGAACACAGACTTCACTCCAACAAATCTCTCTTCTCACTGATCCCCAAGTTACTGAAACACTCAGATAAAACTTTGCAAGTCTCTGTTAACAACTAAAAGATAGGAGATTGGCTGGCCACACATACCTTCTCTGCCTCTGCGGGCAAGAACTCAATATCATCCCTTTGCCCAGATGAGACCCAGTAGGGACACCACCAATTCATCTAACAGTGCTCCTCTCTGGGTTTGCTGAGAGATTTATCTGTGGTGATGGTGGATGAGCTGGGACACCAGTCTAAACAGGTCTGGGATGAGATTCCCATGGCAATGTTGCCCAGATAAATGGACAATAGTTAGACAATTGCAACTAATGTCAGAAGCTCGGGGTTGGATTGCCCTGCCAGAGTAATCCAGAGGCAAAAGTCTTTTATTCTGTTATCAGTTTCAATCACCCTGAGCCAGCTAGTCCCCCAGGATTTATCCCAACATAAAAGAATTCAAAACCTACTGAGAGAATAAGAAAAGGGAACCTTGAACTCCCAGAAGAACAAAGGACTTAAGATGTCTCAGATCAATTTTGTTTGAAGCCTCAGAAAGTAAAGTCATAGCAAAGTTAAGAGGCTGAAACAAAGCAGTAATGAATGGACATGCAGGCTTTGAAAGGCTGATTTCATTATCACTGAAGAAACCCTAGTACTCCAAAAACTATCACCTAGAAGATATCTGGCAGCTACGCCTTCAGCAACACCATGTAGACCTTTCAGAGCGTGGGACTAGTCAATAGCTTAGCCAGATACAGAGCTCTTGGTCTTCAATTATCACTTCAGTTCCAGCCCAAACTAGTATGATCAAAAGGACAGAGCCCTAATAACCTGGATAAAATGCATCTCTTCTCCTTTTTGGGGAATACTGGAAATTCACCATGTAAGATTCTGCTGTTATGAGTAGGGAGAGAAGCAATAAGCTAGTTAGAACTTCCACAGAGACTTCTTGCTTTACATCCAGATAAAGATCAGGATCTACTTGTCTGCCAGCACTCACTGCGTGGCTTACATTGGCTGCTGTCTTCAGTAGCTCTAGGGCATCAAGGCTAAACTTTGTGCTGAGGAAAGTCATATGCGCTAATTATGCTTGCTCAAATGACTTGGCAGACTTCAAGTTTATTGAAGTAATTCATGATAGTCCTCACTTGTCCTCTTTCTAGAAGGTCAGTTCTAACTGTGACAATGTCCCTTGCTTAAACTCCATTCCCAGGCATTCACAAATCCCTCTCCCAAGGAAGTAGACAACCTCACTGTGTGCTCAGAGCACTTGCAGGACATGTAGTCCCATCACATCTGCCCTCAGCTCCTCACAGCAAAAAGGGAAGTCTCTTTCCACACTTCCAGCCAGGATAACCAGGGACTGAATATGCCCTCCCATGGTGAATATTTCACTGTGCCAAGCAAGACATCGGGGAACTTAACGGACTGTGGAGCACCTTTGCATCATGCTGCCAGCCCTTCCCAATCCTGCAGAATCCAGGTTGCACATATCTGGGTCTATCAGATCATATGAGCAGATTAAACCTGAAGGGGACAGTGACAACATTCCTTACCAATACATTGTACTGGGAGACAGAGATGTTGTTGGGATGCACAGTCAGCCGGACACACTGCTTCATCTCCGAGGCGAATCTCCGAGGCTCGCTGGAGCGCTCACACCGCTCCTTCCTTGTGCACCTGGGCAAACAGGAAAAGAGATGGACAGGGTTAACATGAAGTCAGACTGGGACAGGGAGGACGTGGGAGAAGCAATCATTTCAGATGGAAAGTCAACACTTTTCCCTTTGGGACTGCAATGGTTGGAAAGCCTTCAAAATGTGGTACATCTTATGGAGGGATGAATGTCCTTATAGACTGGCTGTACATAGTCTATGTTATTTGATCCTTCTAAGGATGCTGCAAATTTGTGATACTTTTGAGCTGCTAGTATCACTCTGCTGAGAAGGAGCAGCTCTCCAACCCATTGCCAAGGAACTAAAGTGGTCCCTAGCAAATACAAGTTTCTTTGGCATCTGGTTTGAAAACACCTAATGAGAAGTTCCCATGGTTGAATCTGAAAAAGTTCCCAGTGAATGGCAATGAGATGGGTGGATGGCACTTCAGCAGAAGTCCCTAAAATTGTTCATTCTTTGCCACAAGTGCTGAAAGCACGGTCACCATCTCTGATCTTTTCTGCCAAAAGTAGACACAAGGCAGCAATGTGAACTGGCGGTGGTGTGTCCCACCTCAATCCATGTTTGCATTCACTTGGAGTAATCTGCACTGCACTCAACATGTGCTGCTAAGGCCACTGCTTCAAGGAGGATATCTGCCTAAAAATCCACAGGGTTAATACAAAAAGGACAGCTCCAACTGCATGCCAATTACCTTTTAACATTAAGTTAATGTTATGGACTTGCACAGGGTGTCTGCAATAGATTTCGTTATTAGCAGTGCTATTACCCCCCATTAAAATCAGCTATAAAGACTAAGTGCAGATGTTAAATTATTCACCCACTCCCAGACTTTGGAGTTTTAGTTGCAAGCTCAGAGGATTTGGTGGAGGATTAGCTCCATGATCACCCCTCACCGTGCTTTCTTCCAAGAGCAGAGGTTGCACCTCTATGCACAGGGATTTGCAGGCAGGAATCTAAGGCAACACATGTGAAACAAATCCAGCATATGGCAGACTCTGAATGTTACAGAGCTTGGAATCTGGCCTTAAACTTTAGGGCTTAGCTTCTCTTAGCAAATGACACTAGATAAAATGAACGTCTCAATTTAGAATTCACATTGCTCCATCTTTATGGTAAAGTTGTGTGTTTCCAGTGGCAGGAACCATAAAGAGAGATCTCTGCCGTTCTTAGCAGGCTCTTGGTTTGCTTTGCAGATATAAGAGAGCAAGAGCAGCACTGCAGCTCCCTGTGAGCATTCATTCCATTAAGTGTCCTTTAGTGCTGCCGCATGCTGGATCAGGAGTTTTAAATGCGCAGTCTCCAGAGGGCTGGATGGATAGGAGATTAACTGCTGTAAGTCCCCTATCACGGAATAAAAGCCACAGCAAAATGCTGACCTGAGAATTTGGTAAGCACTTCTGTAAAACAAATAGGCACAGCAATCCCATTAAAGCTCTGTGGGGCGTAGGAAATCTCCTGAGAATAGCTCAGATGGAAACTCATTTGGGGTTCGGTGTCAAAGCACAAGAGCCTAAGTTCTCCAAGAAGCCCAACTCCCTCCCATTTATTCTCTCCCAACTGCAGCGTGACAGAAACATCTGGATTTTCTAGAAGTAACGGAGCAGTTCAAGTGCAGCAGCACAAGAAGTCACAAATGCATCCAGCATCTTTGCACAGGAGGACAACACACTGGTCTAAGTCAAGCTCCAAGGAGCTTGGTTTGTCTTCCCAGCCCCACCATAGAGCTTCAATACAATAATCATAGGATCATTAAGGTTGGAAAAGACCCCTAAGATCATCAAGTCCGACCATCACCATCATGCCCACTAAATGTCTTTCAAAGACCTTATAAGACCAATCAAAACCTTATCCTGCTGTTTATTGCTCATAGACATCAAAGAGATGAAACTCTTCAGACCAAAGCCTCACTCAGACTGATGCATCTTACAGCCTTCACATCTGTTGAAAGGTGTATTACAATCCAAATAATGAAATGATGGAAAACTGCCTCAAACTAAGCCTGGTTTTAGCATGAAGATAAGGTTGCAATGTCAGGCTCTCAGGAATTAGGTTCTGGCAGATTGAGAGTAGCTTCTGCATTCTTAAATCTGCTCCCTGCGCTGACACTCTGCAAGCCAGACTTTAATTACAGGATCACACGTTATTATTTCTTTTTTCCATGGGTGACCTCAGTTCTGCCACTTCATAACATTTGACTTTAACTGTCTGACTTTTCCAGTGAAATGTCTCAATTTAAAACAAAAAATAAAAGAAACAAACAAACAAACAAACAAAAAAAAACCCACATGGCTCTGCCTCACGCCCAAATGTGGTGACAAGGGAGCTCTGCCACACACAGCCAAACCAAGCCTGGCTTTGAGTAACTGATGGGGTTCAAACCTTCAAGTAAGTATCACAGATCCTCTCCTTGAGCCAGCAGCATAATTGATTGCAGGTAACTGACCCCAGCTGCTGCCTAAATCAAGACTAAAGGCATAATGCCACCTGCCAGTGGGTTCTGCAGCTCAGAGCATGCAGGGAGGAGTGATTGAGGCTCTTCTCCAGAGTCTTTTGCACATGGTTACACCCATATCCCCTTTCCTGAACCACCTCATCAATCCTAAGTTGGAGTACCTGGGGCAGGAAAAGGCATAAAGCAACCTTTCTCTCCTGTCTTCTGCACTGCCATAAATCATAGAATCATTTGAGTTGGAAAGGACCTTTAAAGGTCACCTAGTCCAACTCCCTGCTATGAACAGGGACACTACAGCTTGATCAGGTGCTCAGAGCCCTGTCCATCCTGACCTTGAGTGTGCCAAGAGACAGAGCATCCACCACATATCTGGGCAACCCATTCCATTGCCTCACCACCCTTATCATAAACATCTTTTTTCCTAATGTCCATTCTAAATCTCCTCTCTTTTAGTTTGAAACCATTTCCCCTTGTCCTATCAGACCCTGCTACAGAGTCTGTCCCCTTCTTTGTTAACATTACACTCTCCCTCAGGAGTCAGGGAAAACAGCAGGGAAAATTGTTTCAGCACGTGAAGAGGAAATGATTGTCTTCTGACATTGATCTCTTAAATCCCCAAATGGTGTCAGATGAGAAACCAAAGCAAATGCAGCAAAGCACCTGACAACTAAGGCAGCTGCCCAAAGGGGCCACTGTAGCCCAAAAAAGAACTGTGCTCTCAACTGCTGCATCTGTTGCCCTCTCTATTGCTGCTCCTGTCGAAAAATATCTTGTACTGCCAATAATTGCTTCTCTTTAATAAAATATCAGTAACTCCAACGTGCTGGCTCTGTCAATACGCTGAGATCACTTTCCACTGCCATACAACCTAATTCAGTGCTATTCATGCTATAATTAGCTGGTGTATAACTCCCACCCAGTAGCATCACATTACACTTAAGACACCTAAAAGAGCATATTCCATTCCTGAGCTTATTTGCATAAGATTACGGTATAGAAGTGACACTTCTCTGTATATCTTAATAACACCTGCTATTTCATATCAGCTGCATCTTTAACAATTGCAAGTGTCCTGCTGCTGCCTAAACCATTAGTGCAAACACTAAGAAACTGGTTCTACCACTGAACCATGAGGAGTATTATTTCCTCCTCACCTCCCATAAAGAGTAAATACTGCTAACACCAACCCTCTGTTCACTACCCTCTAACCAATTATTTTAATAATGTTAAATTACTACTTTGCACACCTATAGCATCTCTCATCCGAGGATCTCAGAGGGCTGTGCCTGGAGCTAATTAATCTTCACAACACCTCTGTGAGGTTGAAGCATTCAAATTCAGAGACAGGAAAGGGAAGTACAGATGCATACACGTCCAACAGCCAAGCAAATCCCAGGTTTCTTGACGATGCCATGAAGACTTCAGTTAGGGATGGCAATTAAAACCCAGCTTGATCATCTGGAATTTAAAACAACATTCCAGGGCCAAATTCTGCTACTACTTGCTGCATTGGCAGAGGTGTTATTCTACCTCTGCAATGAGATGTCAGTGGCTCTTCTACTTTGATGGGTAGATTCAGGTTTCGCCCTAAGTGTCCAGAATTAGAAGAAGTAATCCTATTCTTTAAGTTCCAGGCACCTGGATACATCAGACAGAAGAAGAGTCAAGAGGGGTACTCATCTATTTGCAAGCTCTTTGTTTACCCGGTACACAGCATGGAAAACAGATCATGCTGCTGAAGGGTTGCCAGCCTAGCAGAAGGCATGCAAGTCATGTGCATGCTTTCACCTGCCTCTGCCTCTCAGTGAAGACACATCTTAACTGATCAGATGTAGGGAAAAAACCAAACACAACAAGACAAACAACGAAAGATCATACAGCACACAAAGAATACAAAACCAAAAACCCATAACCTTTGTTTTTCATCCTGGCCTCTCCTGGGCTATGTCTTTGTTTCCTCCATGCCCAACGTAGTGGAGCTCTTATACTTGCTGAACTGTCCCTGTACAGTCCTACAGGTTATCATCTCCACCCTATCAGGTTACCCTCAAGAGTTTCTCTCATACATCTCTCTCCCATCTTAGGATTGTGTCTTTGCCATTCACACCTTACGGGTACCTCAGCTCATCGTGAAAAAGTGGATGAGATCACAACATCTGCTGGGGATGGAGCTTGGTTCAGAGCTGACAGAAACAGTAAGAAGAGCTCTTCTGACTGTGTAGGATCTAAGAACAGGGAAGAAAACTGAGGAAAAGATGCTGACTGCAGAGATAAGGGTACATGGAAAGAGTAGTGCCAAGAAGTGATGGTTGAGGCCAACCCTCATGAGAGCAATGTGGCGAGACAGAGGGAGATAGCTCTTCTCTGTTCTTTCTGCTTCTTGTCCATCTCTCCATCCTACCACTGACTGAAATGCCTGAAATGTTGAGCTTTGCTTTGGGTAAGCAGAGGAAAACTAGAGGAATGGTGTTGATGCAATCTCCCCTTCCAAACAGGATGTTTAGATGCTGATCCAGATCCACTGTGTAGCTCTGCCAACCTCCTATTTC